CTTTTGGATGTGGCTGCCTGTGAGTTGATCTGCAGCAATTGTTATCTCTCTTTTGGGTCTAGCCACCCAGCAAGTTTACCTGGCACCAGGCTGATACTGAAGGTTGTCTGCACGGAGTCCTGTGGTATGAACTGTGTATGGGTCTCTCAGCTGTGGATACCAGCACAGTATTTGAGGCGTCTCCAGAGTCCTGCAGGAGCAGTCCACTTCCTTCATAGGGTCGGTGGGTCCTCTTGGGATTCCTGGTTTGTTCTTGCAGGATGCTGGAGCTAAAATTTGTGATGCCAGCCTCTGCACGCTGCTCTGTCCATCTGAATCTTAGCTGCAATCTAGTCCTGCCTCCTGCCTGTCATCATGATCCTAGGAATCTTTTTTTTTTAAATATTAAAAACAACAAAACACTCAACTTTTCTACTCTTTATATTTTTCTTCTTTTACTTTTAAAGCTCAAATTAGTGATTATAAAGTCAGTTCACATTGAAATCAGATGTGTGGTAAGAATTTAGATATGGATAAGATTGAAAGTGTGGTCATCAGAGTTTGGGTAGGATTTTGCTGGTAGTAGGATATGCTCCAGGAGTAGTCAGACTTGAAGATCAGAGGGTTACAGGAATGTGGTCAGATTCAGGCCCTGAGTTGAAGACATAGGCAGGGGTGGTGGGAGGGAATTATTGTAGATCCTTTGTGTTCTAACGTCAAGTCCTAGCTTCACCTGAATTGGTGGTTTTATGGGGAGTTTGGAAATGGAAATTAACATAAGAAGATTATATCTGCTCTTCTGTTGCTTACAGATTCTTAAGACTCCTATTCTTTTCTTATGAGTACCCTTTTCAGCTTACTATTGCTAAGGAAATAATTTTCTCAAGAGAAACTTTATTACTTGTCCTAGGAGCCCTGGATGGAAACTCTGCTCCTCAACGGCAGGATGTGGACCATGAATTCTTCCTGCTCTTCAGTGTGATAGATGAGAATCTTAGCTGGCATCTTGATGAGAACATTGCCACTTACTGCTCAGAACCTGCATCAGTGGACAAGGAAGATGAGACTTTTCAAGAAAGCAATAGGATGCATGGTGAGCGGGGAAAAGGTGGTCAGATTGTGACAGGGAACATTGTTGAAGGGTATCCACTGGTTATAATGTTTGGTGGATGCTTTCACATACATAGTCCTTTTTAATCATCATAAGAACCAGGAGTAGTAGATGGATCTTTCTTATTTTATGTGTGAGGACACAGAAGCACCTAAGATTATGCAGTAGATAAATGGCACAGCTAAAGCTCCAACCCTCATCTCTCTGACTGCATAGATTGTGCTCTTTCCATTAGGCTACCTGCCTCATAATGTAGAATAGCACATAGGCTGGTGACAGCCTGTGGAATAGCACACAGGCAAAAGTTATATACTATATGTTCAATTACTTTGCTGGGGGTTGCCCACTGATACGATTAATTAATATTGATTTGTTTTAAAAAGGAAGAACCTAGCAAAATTATCCATTTTGTGGAGAAAAATGGTTTCTTTCAAGCTACCTTGCTTATATCCCCTATCCAACGCTGTGCTTATGTCTATAAGCGCATTGACCATATTAATTAAATTAAAAAGAAACTAAGGCACAGAATCCCTGAGGCATGAATGGAGAACTGATTTTAGGAATATAAACAAGTCGATTTTGTTTTTGTTTCATTAAGGAAGTCATTTACTGGCCGTTGGTGACTGCAGTGGACTAAAAACCAGACGGTCACAAAAGGAAGTGAAAATTCAGAAAGAAGATGTAAAGCATGGCTTAGACAGCTCAACTTTCTCTTGAGTTTTACACCAATTGATTATAATAGCCATGCTAATTAGCCAATTTGACAAGTGTCCTGTGGAAATTTTTAGAATAAAACTACGCTGAAAGAATAGCCTGCAAAATAACTCGATTCCTTAGATGGTTTCTTCACATTTTTGGTTTGGAATATTGGCTTTAAGCACTTAATAGCTCTATGGCCTTAGGAAAGAAGTAACTTAACCTCTCTGAGCCTTGGTCTTCTCTCTCTTTTTTTTTTAATAAGACTAATAATATCTGCCTATTTCTCAGGGATATTTTTGAGATTTAAAGAAGATAATACACATGGTTAACACAGTGTACTCTTTATAACCTCATTCAAATGTTATTTACTATTATTATTAAATGATAAGGCTTCTTCCATTGGGCAGTCCTTTCCTAATTCTGATATTTTCTTTGGGTTTTCTTTTGCAGCAATCAATGGCTTTGTTTTCGGGAATTTACCAGAGCTGAACATGTGTGCACAGAAACGTGTGGCCTGGCACTTGTTTGGCATGGGCAATGAAGTTGATGTCCATACAGCTTTTTTCCATGGACAGATGCTGACCACTCGTGGACACCGCACTGATGTGGCTCACATCTTTCCAGCTACCTTTGTGACTGCTGAGATGGTGCCCTGGGAACCTGGTACCTGGTTAGTTAGCTGTCAAGTGAACAGTCACTTTCGAGGTGAGATCCAACATTTCTAACACTTGGGGTGTAAGAGGGAGGTATGATAATAGTCAAAGGAGGCTGGACTTCTGGTCTGCAGCCATAAGTTAAGTCTTCCAGTTGAGGCATCTTGGGACAAAGGATAGCACACTAGATTAGAAGTCAGGGGACCCAAGTTTTTTCCTGAATCTGCTGGGAAACTTGCTGGGTAAACTTGGACACAACTCTCTGTGTTTAATCTTCTCCATCTTGAACATAAGATGCTTTGGGGATGAATAGGAATTCTTTTAATAAGCTTTTTATTGTTTGCTTAGAATTCTAAACAGTTAAGACCTGGAGACATTTTCAACTTATTGAACAAGGAGTAAAGGAGAGATTAGTTAAAAGACAGTAACATTTCCATAGGAGATCATTGTGTATTGTGGGTACCTAGTTGCACTCTGGTTGGAACAAAATAAGAGTAAGAGTGGAAGGTTTTGTTTTTAAAGGCAGAAACATTAAAGTAATGGCATTGCAGAGCAATGTATTGAGAAAAATCAGAGGCATCAGAAGGAAGGAAGAGCATATGAGGCCGTGGAAAGAGCAGTAGATAATTGATTAGGTTTGAATTGTAGTCTTAGGTTTGTGAAAAATATTATAAGACTTCAGGCAAGTGCCTTTCCATTTCTAGGCCACATTTGCCACATCAGTAAAATGGGAAAGTTGGTCTAACTAGTCTCCAAAATCATCTTCGGCTTTCCTTTTTAAGAATTATTTGATGTATGGTAGATTAGAAGGGTGTCAGAAAAATGATATGTGAGTAAGTGAAGTGGATTAGACTAAGAGGAAAATAAATCTTGGGAGTTAGGTTTGACACAATAGGGGCCAGTTACATGTGCTCCATTATCCGGGGTATGTCTTACCACCAAAGCTTTCTAGGTATGAGAATATAAATATGGATTGGGGTTAGAGATGCAGCATGATTGTGGAATAAGTATGGACCTTAGAGACAGACATGCTTGGATTCAAATCCTGGTTCCATCACTTGTTTAGCCACCTTTAATAAGTTATGTCACTTCTCTGAGCCTATTAATGGCAGTAGTGATTCATACCTCTTAAAACAGTAATGAGATTTTAGACAGAAAATGCGATTTTTGAATCTTAGAGAATAGGGGGATTATGTGACCAAGAGAGTAGATTTAAGAGAAGAAAATGAGCGCTTAAGATGGGAGCTTAAGTCTCAACTCCACCTCTAACTAGCTGTGCAACCTTGGGCAAGTTATTTAACCTCTCTGATCTTTTGTTTTCTTCATCTGCAAAAGGGGACATTAAAAGTCTATTTTGTACAATGGTTGTGAAGATTGATAGAGGTAACATATATACTCCCTGGGACTGAAACTTTAGAAAATATGTAAAGCACTTGACACAGAACCTAACATAATACGTATTGAAGAGAATGAATATTCTTTCCTCTTCCTTCATCATATCTCAGATTTCTAATTTACAAATTTGAAATCTCCCTGGGAAGTTGTGGGACTCTAATAAAATAATGTAGCTGAGTGAGCTCTATAAGTTGCTAAGCCAATATAAGACAGTACTATCCATTGCCATGCTGACTTAATATAGCATATTCCACATTTGAAAGCACTACTTAGAATCTACATTTTCCTGACAGTCCCAAGTCTGAAACTTCATCTCCATGAATACAAGATGTTCTTTTATTTTGGGAGCTTCCCAGTTTATAAATAATTAACCCTTATATTAAATATGATGCTCCTACCAGCCCTATGAGGTGGATTTTCCTATTCTCTCCTTTGGCAAAAGAGGAAAGCTCGGACTGAGGAAGTGACTTGTCTAAGGTCCTGCAGATAGTGGTTAAAGGTCGAGGTTGAACTCAGGTTTCCTTACTTCTGTCTCTGTGATGTTGCTACAATGTGAGCCTTTATGCAGAAGCAGGAATGAGGATCTAGTAAATGCCTCAGTGGTGGCATAAGCAAGTGGAAGTACCTGAATTTTACCTGGGCTCTCTTTCTCAGCCAGGTGCTTTAAGAGTGAGAGAAAGTGGCCCATTTTGGAGTAAAGAGAGTAGTGGAGAGTTGGAGGAGGAAACACTAGCAGAAGGAGGAAAGTGAGTCTTCTGGGTAAAAATCCTGTTGGATAGAATGGGGCCAGTTATAATGTTCTTCCCTCAGATGGCATGCAGGCACTCTACAAGGTCAAGTCTTGCTCCGCCACCCCTCCTGTGGACCTGCTCACGGGCAAAGTTCGACAGTACTTCATTGTGGCCCATGAGATTCAGTGGGACTATGGCCCGATGGGACATGATGGGAGTACTGGGAAGAGTTTGAGAGAGCCAGGCAGGTAAGAGGCAGTGGGCTCCCTCTCCTTACTTCTGTGTCCAGCTCCAAACACCTATTATCTTTTTCCCAGAAATCTCTCCCTTTACTTGGGGATGCACATCATTGTCTGGCTGGGGTTACATGACACAACTGTTAGCCAAGTTCTTGTGGCCCTCTAGAGAGCTTGCTCTTGGGGTGATACAGGTAGCAAAGCTTTTTGTGAGGTTATTCCATATCTCCAGCAAAGGATCCAAGCAGAATTTCAAGTTGATTCTACTATAATTCCTGTCCATTATCATAAAGGAAAGCCCAGTTGGGACCAGTTCCTGTATCAGTTGAAATAGCTTTTTTTCTAGTTTTTATTCACTTTACCCATTATTTACCTCCTTGCTTCTTCATTTCTTTTCTATAGTCCAAAAGAGGCATTTAAGTAGGCATATGAAAAGCACTCTGAGAAATATAGGAAGGGAAGCAATCTGCCTTTTGGCTATTCCATGCTCATTCTTTTGAAGGAATTTCTCCAAGTTCTCCTGCCTCATGCATGACCCAGATGTGGGCGAGATAGAGCAGGAGGTTAGTGCCCTACTCAGTTGCTGGGTCTCATGTCATACCACTCACTTGGCAATCAGTTGTGACAGGTCTTCCACAGAGGAGGCACTTGATAGATGACTAAGAGAGGGGCTGGGGGAAGATCCTTTATGGTTATACTTCTAGCAGAAAATAATAGTGTAAATCTGCAGCAAACAGGAAAGTTGGTGTTTGAGTCTCAGCATAGATTCCAGGATCTCCAATTGGGCTTATTAATTTAGTGGGCTTTCATTTTAGAGTAAGACAAAGGATTATTAATACCTAAGGATGATTAAGAACAGAGGCAAACTATGAGTCTCTGGAGGGCAGAACTGGTTCCAGAGCCTGGAACTTACAAGCAAGAATATTACACTGAAAAGAATTCCAATAATTTAAAATAAACAGTAAGGGAGATTGTTTCTTTGGGATATGAGTTTCTTGTCTTTGGAAAGGCTCAAGCAGAAGCTGTATATAACTTACTAGTGGTGTCACCAAAGGAGATATCTTCACTGCTGGGAGTTAACTCAGATGAGCTCTGAGGTCCTTTCGAAACATAAACATTTGTAACTTGATGAGACGAAGGGTGAGATGGGAGTCTATTTTGATACCTAATAAAATCATATCATATTTTCCTTTTTATATATCAGTAACTCAGATAAGTTTTTCCAGAAGAGCTCCAGCCGAATTGGGGGCACTTACTGGAAAGTGCGATATGAAGCCTTTCAAGATGAAACATTCCAGGAGAAGATGCAGTTGGAAGAAGATAGGCATCTTGGAATCCTGGGTGAGGAATTTTTAACTTATGAAATTCATTGACTAGAGCCAGAAACGTGAGGAGAACTTTGAAACTTGGGCCTGGACATGACTTAGGAGTACATTGTAGACCAGTGTCTTCTAAAGTGAGTCTTATGTGAAGATTGTTTTGTGAAAAAGGGTTACGAGTTTGAATGTGTTTGAAAAAACACTAAGTTAAGCAGTTAAATAGTGCTTTTGTGCTACAGGATTTCTAAGAGCCTTAGATTTATTTTTGTTTATCATGAATCTCCACTTTTTTTCAGTGAATGTCTTCCAATACCACTGATGTACAGTACACACTTTTAGAATTCCTTCTCTAGAAGGGTTATACAAGGAAGTAAGACTATCTAGGTTCTCGGCCATCTGGGACCAGTGGCGGATTGGCATGACATGCAGACATGCTTGAAACAGGAAGCATGCAGAATAGGCTTGGAGTCTGAACTTGAAGAAGGTATCTAGAAGGGCTAAACCAAAGTTAGACGAGGTTTAGTAACACGATGGAACCAGAAAATAAAATAAGCAAGATGGAAAAAACTTTGGAAATTAATATAATAGACCATACTCGGGATAGGTATGTGCCAGTTGATTCTAGCTCTAATAATGGACAATAAGTCTTACGTCAGCTGGATAGGGAGATATAATGATGAGAAATCCACCCTAGGAGTGGTGAGTATGAAGGAATTATTATTGGCTGGATTTCAGTATGGGTGCCCAGTCTATGAGAAGAGGTGTAACATTAGATGTGGAAATTGAGTAGGAAACCAAGCTAGAAACTCTGACCAAGGGTTAGAGCCAGCATAAGTGCTCAGTTTTGGTACTTTTGGTCTGCCTCAAAGGTGACCTAAGCTAGATTAGATGTGGTGGGTAGTGAAGTTCAGAAGAGTTTAGAAGTTGTGGCTCTATTTACCTACTCCAGTGCCTGGATAGAAGATATAATAATACTCTTAGATAGTTCCACCAAGAGATGCAGCTATGGGATCTGGGACAATAAAGTAAGTGAAAATGAGGTTGGGCCTGACAATGGGATGAGAGAAAGTCCTGGCCTTTAGTCCTGGTTGAATGGCTAATCAACCATTTAAATTTGGGCAGATAAATTCCACCTCTCTCAGCTGAAATTTTCTCATCTGTAAATTGGAGTTAATTCCTGCCCTACATGCCATAAAATGATGTTTGACAATTGAATAACATAATGGATTTTCCAGTGTTTTTTATAACTGTAAATTTCAATACACTTGAAAAGGATTGTTCTTATTATTACAAAGAAAAGAGTTCTTTATCTTCTTCACTTTGACTTTCCTTTTCTTTCCCTCCTTCTTCTTCCATATTCTTCCTCCCTGTTCATCCCTTTAGTCATTCTCATTGTCTCTCCTTCCCATTTTCCAGGGCCAGTTATCCGGGCTGAGGTTGGTGACATCATTCAGGTGGTCTTCTACAACCGTGCCTCCAAGCCATTCAGCATGCAGCCTCATGGGGTCTTTTATGAGAAAGACTATGAAGGCGCTGTGTACAATGATGGTGAGCCAGCAGTGTTTCTGGCAAATGTGGGCTCCAGGAGGTATCAGGTGTCTCTAGAAAACAAATAAATGGTGTATGGAGAGGGAGAAGTAGGCAGAATTAGTTTCCATATGTGAATGTTGTTGAATGAATGAATAATATAATAGCAAAGCAGAGCTAGGCTTCACTAATAAGAGAAAATTTTAAAAAATATATTTAAATATAACCTAATTCTAAATCAAGTGTATTATAGAACTTTGGAAAGCAGAAAATTACAAAGTAAATAAACATCATTTATAGATAAAATTGTCATATAACTTTTGATATAACTTTAAATATTTTTGTGTGTTTATACAAGTCTGTATAGAGATATATGATCATATGGTTTGTACAGTTTTGCATCCTACTATTCTCACTTACCATTGAACTGTGTTCGTTTTCCCATGCCATTATAATGTTACATTTTAATGGCTATATAATACTTTATCTCAAGGATTTGTCATAATTTACTTACTTTATCCTTTGTTGCCTAGATACATAGGTTTTTTTCAGTATTTTTGAATATTGTAAGGCAGGTTGCAGTGAACGAATGCATACATCCTAGCTTGCATTTTGGATTACTATATCAGAAGAGAATCCTAGAAGTGACAGTATTGTGTAATTATTTTTTTACTTTCTCTAAGAATATTAATGCATGCTAATTCTAGCCAAAATATAAAAGAAAAATGGAAATCATAAATGCAAAAGTTGCAGACAAATCTAGAATGAAAATTCTACAAGGCAACTGGTCTAGTCTCTTGAAGAAGTCAATACCATCAATAGGAGGATTAGAGACATAACAATCAAATGCAGTGTGCAAACTTTGAGTGAATCTGCTTGTGAAAAACAGCTTTAGGAGGCATTTTGGAGATAATTGCAAAATTCTTGATATAGATTGGATATTAGATGTTATTAGGGAATTTTCTTAGGTGTAATAATGGCATTATAGTGAAATACGAGATGCTTGCTAATATTTTAGCTATAAAATGTCATGATGTTTGCATTCTACTTCCAAATGATTCAACCAAAGCAAACAAACAAAAACTGCTTGTAGCGTGTGTACGTGTACATACACATAGATTAGATGAATTAAAGATGGTGAAATGTTAGCAATAGACTCTAAGTGATAGGGTGATCATTACACTATTTTTTAAAGTTTTCTGTATATTTGAAAATTTGAAGAGTAAGAAATAATGAATGAATAAGAAAAGATTTTTAAAAACTAGACAAAAATGTAGACAAGGCTATTTATTTAAAAGGTTCATATCCACAAGTAGAATAATATATGCAGTAAATACTGAAAGGAATGTTCAACCTGAAATAATCACACAAGTGTAAATCAAAACAACAGCAAGTTTTGTTGATGTTTTTGTTTGCCTACAACACAGTTATTTTGACAAGATTAAAAAGAATTCCCCAGTGCTGATGAGGTTGTAAATTATAAACTAAATTACAACCCCTTGTTGTAAGCTATACTACAAATGTTCTTCCATATGCTTCTTTGCACACTTTTATAAACATTTCTTCAGAATATATTTTTAAGGTGAGGAATTGCTACATCAGAGGATACATACCTTAAAATTTTTGATACCTACACCCAAAATGCTGTCTGGAGAGATTTGCTATATTATCAGTTTAGAGTTCTATCAGCAGTATCTGAGGAGGGCTCCTTTCCTTACAACCTCATCAGCACTGGGGACATCTTTTTTAATCTTGTCAAAATGTCTTGCAGGGAAACAACAGCATCAACAAAACTCACTGTTGTTTTGATTTACATATGTTTGATTATTTTAGATTGAACATTCTTTTCAGTATTTATTGCATATATTATTCTACTTGTGGATATGAACCTTTTAAATAAAAAACTGTGTCTACATTTTTGTCTACTTTCTTTTTTTTTGTTATATAAATATATATACATATATATGTGTATATATATATATGTATATATATATATATATGTATATATAATTGCAATTTAGGTTCCAGGATACATGTAAAGAACATGCAGGACTGTTGCATAGGTACATACATAGCAATGTGGTTTGCTGCCCCCGTCCCCATCACCTATATCTGGCATTTCTCCGCATGTTAGCCTTCCCCAACTCCGTACCCCCCACTGTCCCCCCCAGACCCCCCCCAACAGACCTCAGTGTGTGATGCTCCCCTCCCTGTGTCCATGTGTTCTCATTGTTCAACACCCGCCTATGAGTGAGAACATGTGGTGTTTGATTTTCTGTTCTTGTGTCCGTTTGCTGAGAATGATGGTTTCCAGGTTCATCCATGTCCCTACAAGGGACACAAAACCATTGTTTTTGATGGCTGCGTAGTATTCCATGGTGTATATGTGCCACATTTTCCCTGTCCAGTCTATCATCAATGGGCATTTGGGTTGGTTTCAGGTCTTTGCTATTGTAAGCAGTGCTGCAATGAACATACATGTGCATGTGTCCTTATAATAGAATGATTTATAATCCTTTGGATATATACCCAGTAATGGGATTGCTGGGTCAAATGGAATTTCTATTTCTAGGTCCTTGAGGAATCACCACACTGTCTTCCACAATGGTTGAACTAATTTACACTCCCACCAACAGTGTAAAAGTGTTCCTATTTCTCCACATCCTCTCCAGCATCTGTTGTCCCCAGATTTTTTAGTGATTGCCATTCTAACTGGCGTGAGATGGTATCTCAATGTACATTTGATTTGAATTTCTCTAATGACCAGTGATGATGAGCATTTTATCATGTTTGTTGGCCTCATATATGTCTTCTTTTGAAAAGTGTCTGTTCATATCCTTTGCCCACTTTTGAATAGGTTTGATTTTTTATTTCTTGTAAATCTGTTTTAGTTCTTTGCAGATTTTGGATATAAGTCTTTTGTCAGATGGGTAGATTGCAAACATTTTTTTTCAAATTTTGTCTACATTTTTTTTTATTATTCCCTTTTACACTTACCCTCTTTATAGGTGAGTGAGTAGAGTAGGTGCCATTTAAACCATTTCTTACCATCATGCATTTTTATAATTTGCAAAATCTTTGCTAACTTAACTTGTAAAAAAAGTTATCTAGCTATTTTCAATTGTACTTCTTTGATTACTGAAGGCATGAAAATTTGAATAACGTGTGAGCATTGCTTGGCCATGTTTTGTTTCCATTTTAGAAATTACAGCCTTAGTGTTATATGTATATACATATACATATGCACATATATACACATACATACATACATAACATATACACATCCACATATACATAGTACATATTGAAAGAAAAAAATGTTAAATAATCACAGCTGTTTAAAAGTGAAATGAGCTATAATGGCAGATAGTAAGTCTCCCATCGCTGCACAGTTTTAAGCAGAAGTAGTGATGTAAGAGCAGATTAATGTATGTTTTCAAGTGAAGGATGTTCCAAATTAAGTGTTAAAGTCCCTTTTAATCCCAAGGTCCTGTGATTTTAGAAAACCGAAACATAGTGAAGATTAAATTGCTGCAGTTCATATAGCAAGTAATGACAGAACGAGAAAACAAACTCATCTCTTGACTCCTAGACCAGAGTCCTCTTCAATATTCAATATTCCATGTTGCTGCTACTGTTGCTCCAAAATGCCTTTGTAGTTCATAATCTTTATTTCACCATTTTGAGCTGATGATTCTCATTCTAGTCAATGTAAGTAATGAGTACCATATTTTTCCCTACAGGTTCATCTCACCCTGGCTTGGTTGCTAAGCCCTTTGAGAAAGTAACATACCGCTGGACAGTCCCCCCTCATGCTGGTCCCACTGCTCAGGATCCTGCTTGTCTCACCTGGATGTACTTCTCTGCTGCAGATCCCATAAGAGACACAAATTCTGGCCTGGTGGGCCCCCTGCTGGTTTGCAGGGCTGGTGCCTTGGGTACAGATGGCAAGCAGGTATTGTCAGGGTTATCTGGCTGGGAAGCCTGCAGGGAGAAGGATGAAGCTAGCTTGCTGGATAGCAGTTAAGCATGGAACTGGGTTCTGAAGTTTAGGGAATAAAAGAAAAATAATCAAGCTGGCCCATCTGAAATTAATATTTTGTGACCTCATGCTATCTTGCATGTTATTTTTTGTACTGGCAAACATATCTTCCTTAGCCTCACAGGTAATTAATGATATCCTTCCATCATCTCCTTCTTTTCTCCCTCCCTCCCTCCTTCCTTCCATCCTTCCTTCCTTCCATCCTTCCTTCCTTCCTTCCTTTCTCCCGTCTCCTTCTCCTTCTCCTTCTCCCTTATGTCATTGGCCCCTAAACCTTGCTCCTGATCCCTAAATCTGCTTTAATATTTGCCTGTCTTCTTTTGTATTCAGCCCACGATTTCTATTTGTGTAACACTGGGTGAGCTACTGAACTTCTCTTTGACTCAGTTTTCTCATTTGTAAAAAAGGGATAACAATGGAAGAAGACATCTTGGGTTTCTGTGGGGATTAATTAAAATAATCCATATACAGTGCTTAGTACAGTGTAAGCACTTGGTAAATGTTAGTGGTAACAATAATTACTATCCATATAACTTATCTTTTATTTTCTTATTTCCCCCAAGACCCTCCTCTGCTTTTCTAGCCATCTCCCCTCAGTCCTCTCCCCAGGTGATTCCGAGTTCTCTTTCTTCACACTCCGTACCTCTTATTTCTTATCCTATGCTCCTTCCCTGACCCCTTTCTTACATTTCTTCCCTGTAAGGCTTGTCCTTTTATTCTGATCTTCTTCTCTCATCTGCAATTTGAGGATAAGGAAAAACTGCTTATCAATAGCTGCATCTCTGGGTAGAAGGTATGGGCTCAAAATGGGAAAAGAAAATGGGAAGAGTCTGGAATCCATGGATCTGTAGCAACACAGTCCACAACTGCTGAAACCATTGTCATTTTTCCCTCTACTTTCTTCTATTGGGCCTACAGAAAGGGGTGGATAAAGAATTCTTTCTTCTTTTCACTGTGTTGGATGAGAACAAGAGCTGGTACAGCAATGCCAATCAAGCAACTGCTATGTTGGATTTCCGACTGCTTTCAGAGGATATCGAGGGCTTCCAAGATTCCAATCGGATGCATGGTATGGGGAGTACTTTTGCCCTGGGCTAAATTGAGGGACTCCAAGTCAAATCTAACTTGAACTGTAATCATGACCAATCCTGAAAATACTGATTTTATTGGTCATCTCTGTCCAAGAGACGAGCTAGATTGAGAGATTCAACCTAACACAACAGATCTTATACTTAGCACCTTTGGGTGCTGTGTCCTGTGTTACACAATATGGGGGACACTGGAAGAAAGTACTGTGAGATGAGGATTGTACACCAGAAATCTACAAGGGATTGTGAAGAATAAGCCAAATGATACCTTTCCAATCTTATCTCCCCACTTCCTTATCTTTTACTACCTTTGCTCCCCCTACCCCATACTCCTGCCAAATAGGACTATTTTTCTTTGTGAACATGCTGATTTCGTGCTTTTGCAGTGTTGTTCCCGTTCCCTTCACTTGAAATGTCACTGCTTACATCTTTGTCCTCAGCCTGCAGGAATTCTGTGCATTCTCTATGACCCATCTCAAAAGCTACCTCCTCCATGTAACCATTTCTTATCAGCCAAGCTCAGGGTAATGGCAACCTCTCCTGAACTACCATTGCATTTCAATCAGACCATTTTAATAGCAAGTTCCATATACTCTTCAATATTGTATCTGTTTGTTAAATTGATTTTGATTTCTGCAAGAGTGTAGTCTTTTTAAACATGAGCATTAAATATTGCTTATCTCTGTATCCTCTATACTGTCTAATACATAGTTTATTGAATTAGTAAACTACTAAATGAATGGGTGGATGTATGAGTAAATTAATGGGAAGACATGGTTTCAGTTTGCAAGGAGCTTCCGGCAATTTGCAGTGAGATGAGATTAATAAAATTTATGAAACATTTATAGAATAATCCAAGAAAGGCTATAATTAAGTGCTTAATTAAAAACTAAGTGCTGAATTAAAAGCTGTGTAGAACAACTGTTTCATAAGAGAAGGAGATCATTAATGAGGAAGTATCACATTAAAATATTTCTGGAAGAAAGAACTGCTTAAGCTTGGGATTGAAGACTGAATAGATTTTCAACCAGGCAAGGGAAGCATAATCATGGAGTTAGTAGTGTTCTTATTAGCATTCTAAGGGATTATCACACAGTGTGACACATTAAATTGCAGTAGATATGGAGGCATTGAAAAGGTGTAGGCTTCAAACAAGTCTCCCTCCTGTGTTTTGCATTGGGAGGGTGGTATAGGAGGGAAACAATAATGAGTGAATTGTTTTTGGTTCTATCTCTTGGTTTCCATTACTAGTTAGTTCCATCATTTGGAAAAAAATAAAACAGTCTCATGAGCAAAGTTCATTCCAGTTAGAATTTACTGAGCACCTAATTAGTATGAGGTGCTCAAGCAGTCACATAGATATAGAAAAAAAATTTATATACTTCCTGTTAGGTCAATCCATTGCAGCAAATAGATTTCTAAGTAAATCACCAGAAAGTATATCAGTTGCATTCCATGGTAACTGATATTGCAGATAATCTTTTATAAAATTGTGTGGGATAAAAGTTTCATGGATCAAAGAGAGAGTAGTAACTGCTTTACAGAGGATATTTGAATAAAGATATGATGAGTGAATTGTAGGATGCCATAGAAAGATACCATAAGGGAAGTTCATTCCATCAAGAGGAAACAGTATGTGAAAAGTCAACAGGTATTATCAGGGCACCTACAATGTTTAAAGCTTTGGTAATGCAGAGAGAAATAGAGGTCAGAGGACAATGATGTGTATGTGTGTGTGTACATGTATGTGTGTGTGTTTGTGGGGGGGGGTAAGAGGATGGGAGGACAGACTGCAGGTAGGAGTACCAGAGAGGTGGCTATTTTAGAAGTTCAGACCAGAGAGGATGAGGCCCAGAACCAGGGGAATGGCAGTGAAGATGAAGAGGAGGAAACAGGTTTGAGAGCTGAAGATGGAATTTTCAGAACCCAAACACGTTATGGAGGGGTGGAAAATAAGATCGGTGTAAAGAAGGAACAAAGTGGTTGTAAAAGAACCAGAGAGTATGTTGCCACAGAAACCAAGGAAAAGGAATTTCAAGAAATGGGGAATAGGAGAGGTTTGTGTGTGTGTGTGTGTGTGTGTGTGTGTGTGTGTGTGTGTGTGTGTGTATGGTTGTGGTAGTGGAGAGTAGTTTAATGTTGTCAGGATGTGGATCATGATGGACAGGAGGCCAGAAAGGACAGTTGACTGCTCATCCCAAAGACACAGATATTCACAACTAGAGTTAAAGTGGCTTAGAGAAGAAGGCAGAGGAGTTGAGGATGACTCAGCAGTTTCAAGTTGTGTGAAACCATAGTACATAGCTGATGCCATGCTGCTGGCCGGTGCTGGAGTAGTCTGGTCTCATCTCCTTATCTTGTTTTGTGTTTTTGTTTTCCAGCCATTAATGGGTTTCTGTTCTCTAACCTGCCCAGGCTGGACATGTGCAAGGGTGACACAGTGGCCTGGCACTTGCTCGGCCTGGGCACAGAGACTGATGTGCACGGGGTCATGTTTGAGGGCAACACTGTGCAGCTTCAGGGCATGAGGAAGGGTGCAGCCATGCTCTTTCCTCATACCTTCGTCATGGCCATCATGCAGCCTGACAACCTTGGTAAGTGCCTTAGCAGCGGCCCTAGAGGCTTTGTTGGGTATAGGGCCTGGGATGGGATCGGGAAGAGGGAGGATGGTGAAGAGGAAAGAAGAGGCATGTTGAGGGTTCTAAGAAGTTTGAAAAACACTTTTGTCTTTTTCTTCTTCAGTGTGCTCTCCATGTTCTAGTTACTTAGATTCCCTATTCAGCTGCAAGCAGAATAGAGTTAGTAGAAGGTGGAGAAAATCCTTTTCTGGAACAACAGAAGAGAAGTTGGGATGCTGTTTAGCTTTAGTGAAGTTCTTATATGGCAGGGAGTGGACTTGACCACATAGAGATTTTATAGATACAGTACTTTTATTGGGAGGAAGGTCAATGAGAGTCACTTATAAGTGCTATCAAATTGATATTCTGTGGGGATTTCTGCAGACTCTCACTTCTGGTCTCTCCCTTTCTCTTTCTCCCTGTGAAGCACCCCCACCCCTGCCACCCCGTGTGTGTGGGGGGGGTGGGGGGAGGTGGGTGTGCGCGTGTGGTGATGTAACTATTTCAGCCTGGAAATCAGAACACAACAACCCTAGTTCAGCCTCGTCCATTAACTTGGTGTGTAAATTTGAAATTTGGTCTAATCACTTCCCCTCTCCCTAGCTAGATTTCTTCCTTCATTGATTCATTCCTTCCTGCCTTCCTTCCTTCAGTCCTTTTGTCCTTCCTCCATCTCTCCTTACCTCCCTATCCTTTTTCTTCCTTTTATGAAGATATTTGACTATAATATTTCTTCAGATTCTATGTATTTCTAGCATTTCGTAATGCAGCAGTTATCTTTTCTTTAGTCCCTATGGTGTATTTTTTTCCCAGCCATTAGATGGAAATAGTGTTTGTAAGAAAAACCTGTCAGTTCCACACAGTTTGTATTAAACTTTTATTTTACTTCTATAAATTCCATTCATATTTTGGGGAAAACATCCTTGAACAAGTGTCTTCAACATTTTAATAATTTTAACCTAGTCCTGAGTTTGACAAACACTTGATATAAAGCTGGTCTCCTGAGAAATAGAACAGTGTGAAGGCTATTATTGCAATTTTTTCTGTGAGAGAAGCTTGGGGCTTGGACTAGGGAAGTGGCAGTGGAAATGAAAAAATAATTTCAAAGGAATTTCTGATAGGATATATTGATGGAATAGATATGGGTGGTAAGAGAAATAGAAAAAGTAGATGTGGAAAGAAAAGAGTAGATTCTTTATTTCAAGGTGTTTATAAACTAGTAGAAGGGATCATTTTAAAAGAGGGGGGCACTCAGCCCTTTAACATGTGGTTTAGATATAAAGTGCATTAGGAGTGGAGAGGCCAAGAATGTAGAACTTAGTTTGTGCCAAAATAGTCAGGGAGGGCTTTCTGGAAAAGAAAAATGAATTGCGTCTTGGAAAATGAGTGAACTCTCATAGATACTTGGAGGTGGGGGTTGCAGGTATGTTCCAGAAATAGGGTAATAAAATGAAGATTCCGAGCTAGGAATGAATGGAAAATATGAGATGCAATCACGGTTTGATGTAGTCGGAGAGCTAGTAGAGTTTAAGACAATGTGTGGGAAGTAGAACTGGATTGATAGTTTGGGGCCAACTCATAGAAGGCTTTGAAAGCCAGGAAGAAGAATTTGTAGTGTTGGGATAAGCACTGAACAGCAAGTAAGGAAACAATGAGAGTAATGTTCTAAGAAAGTTAGCTTCTCTTGATCAGCAGTGAGTTTAAGTATCCTTGACGTAGAAATTTGGAGCTTAAGATCTTGTCCAGGCAACTCCACAGAACAGACATTTAAGACTGTTACCTGAGCCTTCAATTGTAAAAAACGAGTGAAGGGCCTTCTAAAGCTGTCTTAGGTAAGCATCCCTCTGCAATCAAGAAGTTCTCTTTCTTTTTAGCTAACTATTGAAGTCTATTTTATTTCTTTGGTACTTGGTAGGAGAAAACCCATCAATGTTTTTCTTGAAATAATAATTATTACAGCTTTATTTACTTATTTATAGCTTCATTTAACTGAACATTGAATATGTTCTATACTAAACACTGTTCACATATTATTGTGTTTAATTGTAAAACATATAAAATAATCGTTGTTTTTCTGATGAGGGAACTGAAAAACACACAAGTTTAGAAATTGCCACAAGGTTATATATAATAAATAACAGATAGGGTTACCAACCATGGCAGTTTGCCTAGTACTGAGGGGTTGCTAGGAATATAGTACTTACTGTGCTAAAACCAGTAATACCCTGATAGAAGTTGGTTATTCTAGTGGCAGAGTTTAGTTTTAATAAACCCAGACAGTGTATGTGGCTTTGGAGCTGGAGCTCTTAACCTTTGAGCTCATTACTCTCAATAAACTTTTCATACTGTTTTATTTAATGTGTAGTTAAGACAAGAGCCTTATCTGAGACTATCTGAAACTACCTATTTTCTGCAGTCTGCCTAGGGAGAGGCAGGAAATTCCCCAGGCACCACCCAGGGGTGTTCTGAGTCAGATTTTTCTCTCTGATCCTCCCTCAGGGACATTTGAGATTTACTGCCAGGCAGGCAGCCATCGAGAAGCAGGGATGAAGGCAATCTATAATGTCTCCCAGTGTCCTGGCCGCCAAGCCACCCCTCGCCAACGCTACCAAGCTGCAAGGATCTACTATATCATGGCAGAAGAAGTAGAGTGGGACTATTGCCCTGACAGGAGCTGGGAACTGGAATGGCATAACCAGTCTGAGAAGGACAGGTAAGGCTTCAGAAATGGAGAGATCACACTTTCCAAAAATCACTTTGCAAATGAAAATACTGCAACTGTGAGATGAGGAGACTCTTACCTCAGGTCACCTAATGTGATACCAACAGAATTGAGAGATGGGGCTACAATGCAGCTCTGATGAATTCTAGCTCAGTGCCACTTCTATATTGATATAGTGAGGGAATAAGGCATGCTCGCGTCTTCACCCTCAGTCTTTGTCTCTCTTCTTTCAGTTAGCTGAAAGTATTTACCCTGGGACTTAAATTTCATAGAATTTACTCAAGAGACTGAATGTCTCAAGCTCAGCTGCCCCTTGACAAAATGGCATTGCATTTATTGAAGTACAGACTAAGCTATGTAGCGGGAAATGTTTAAAACAGAGTGATTGAAACATGATAGAATTTTATTTCTTATTCACATAATAGTACAAATATGAGGAATTCAGGGCGGGCAGGTGAACCCTATCATTCTCAGCACTTCCTTTCATCTCTGGGGCCAAGATGCCTGTTCCAGTTGTAGCTATCCCTAGCCATCAAGAAGAAAGAAAGAAGTCAAAGTCACGCAGCATTGTCTATAAGGACACGGCCTGGAAGTTGTATATATCACCTTTTCTTATACTCTATTGTTCTGAACTAATTCTTATGGCCATCTTTGGCTGCAACAAAAGTCTGAAAACTGTAATCTCTGATTAATCTGTCATGTGCTGAGCTAAAAGTTAGGTGATTCTATTACTGACAATGAAGGAGGAGAGAATGGAAACGTAGATACAAATTAGCAGTCTCCATTAGTTTGTTTTCAGTGCTCTCACTACGCATTAGCAATTCTTACTCTTTATGTTGTTCGTTGAAAGTTGAAGTCTTCTTGCTAATGGTCTGAAAATGTTTTATTTCCTTTTTAATTCTTTATTTTTGATGTTCAGATAGACATATAATTATCAAAACCAACCTCCATTGAACCTACAATAAGTTTCTATAAACAGAAGCAGATAACTAGGTTGGACATTTGTTTGAAGATTCCTTCTATTAGCTCTGTCTATGTACGTGCTAAAAGGAAAATGTATTACTAGTTGATATTTACTTTGAAAACACTAGTTTATTTTTTTTTTTGAATGTCCATAGCAACTTTATTCTTTTTTTTTTCCCCATTTATTTATTTTATTGCATTTTAGGTTTTAGGGTACTTGTGAAGAACATGCAAAATTGTTGCATAGGAACACACGTGGCAGTGTGATTTGCTGCCTTCCTCCCCATCACCTACATCTGGCATTTCTCCCCTTGCTATCTCTCCCCAGCTCCCCACCCCCCGCCGTCCCTCCCCTACATCACCACAACTGACCCCAGTGTGTAGTGCTCCCCTCCCTGTGTCCATGTGTTCTCATTGTTCAACACCCGCCTATGAGTGAGAACATGCGGTGTTTGATCTTCTGCTCTTCTGTCAGTTTGCTGAGAATGATGGTTTCCAGGTTCATCCATGTCCCTGCAAAGGACCCAAACTCATCGTTTTTGATGGCTGCATAATATTCCATGGTGTATATGTGCCACATTTTCCCTATCCAGTCTATCGTCGATGGGCATTTGGGTTGGCGATTCCTCAAGGACCTAGAAATAGAAATTCCATTTGACCCAGCAATCCCATTACTGGGTATATATCCAAAGGATTACAAATCGTTCTACTATAAGGACACGTGTACACGAATGTTCATTGCAGCACTGTTTACAATAGCAAAGACCTGAAAACACTAGTTTAAGTCACAATTGAACTATCTACAACTACTGAGAATAAAATTTGACTTCATTTAGAAATATGTTATTTATTTAGTTCCCCTCACTTGTTTCTAATCAGAACCCAGTGAGATACACCTAACAAGATCTTATAATTTAAAAAAAACAAGAAAAAGATATATTTACATCAGTTTGTTAAAAATATATTATTAGTTGCTAGCATTCAGGTAGGGCCCAAGTGAAAAATTTTTTAAAATAATTGAAACTTTTATTTTAGATTTATGAAGTACATGTGCATGTTTGTTACATGGGTATATTGTGTGATGCTGAGGTTTGGGATACAGATCCCATCACACAGGTAGTAAGCATAGTACCCAGTGTTTCATTTTTCAACCCTTGCCCCCCAACCCCAATTTCTATTGTTGCCATTTTTATGTCTATAAGTACCCAATGTGTAGCTCCCACTTATAAGTGAGAACTTTTTGTTTTTCTGTTCCAGCATTAATTTGCTTAGAAATTTGTGGCCTCCAGCTACATCTTTGTTGCTGAAAAGGACATAATTTCATTATTTTTAAAGTCTGCATAGAATTCCATGGTTTATGTGTACCACATTTCCTTTATCCAGTCCACCATTGGTGGGCACCTAGGTTGATTCTATGTCTGTGCTATTGTGAACATGTACCTCTTTGGTAGAATGATTTATTTTTCTAGCCCATTTCTTTTTTTTCTTTTTTCTTTTCTTTATTTTTTTGAGACAGAGTCTTGCTCCACCACCTAGGCTGGAGTGCAGTGGCACGATCTTGGCTCACTGCAACCTCCACCTCCCAGGTTCAAGCAGTTCTCCTGCCTCAGCCTCCCTACTACACATGCATGGTGATTTGCTTTTTGCTTGTTGAATTAAGTTTTTGGAAATTTTAAAATGTGACTTCCCCTCTCTGAGCCTGGGTATACTCATCTTGAAAATGATGCAGTATGGATGAAATAACAGGGCTAGAAAAGAAGGGAGGGAAGGAGCAGCAGGCTTGAATCTAAATCCTGGCTCACTTTCTGGCTAACAATGTCACCTCGGATAAGTCCTGCCATCTCTGGGCAATGGATCGCACCTCTGACACCTACCTACCCCATAGTCCTATTAGAAATATCAAATGATAAATCTGTGTGTAAACTAGAAAGAATCCTATAAGGAGAAAATCTGTAAGATTTCATTTCCTCCCTATGTCTCACCATCCTTTACCCTCTGGTTGCAGCAGCAGTTAGTACTTTCTTGCCACCTTGTACCTTGCCCTTTTGTAAAATTAATTTCATTAAGACATCAGTAAGGTTAGAGCTAAAGCCTATGACTTCTGATTCTTAGCCCAGTGCTCTTGTGGTTTGAATTGTATGACAAATTTCTATCTGGATTATGGCAAACAAGGAACATAGATACTGAAACCTGCCTTTTTTTTTTTTTTTTTTTTTTT